AATATCTTTGACTTGCTTTTATGTCTTGTCATGTTTATATGTGTATTTATGTCTTGTATTGCTGGTAAGTAACTTTCTTGCACTGAGTTCTTTTTTGTTGCAAATATCTTTGATTTGTTTTTATGTCTTATCATGTTTATATGTGTATTTATGTCTTCAATTGCTGTTAAGTAACTTTCTTGCACTTAGGTCTGTTTATTGGAAATATCTTTGACTTGTTTTTATGTCTTATAATGTTTATGTGTGTATTTATGTCTTGTATTGCTGGTAAGTAACTTTCTTGCACTGAGGTCTGTTTATTGCAAATATCTTTGACTTGTTTTTATGTCTTATAATGTTTATGTGTGTATTTATGTCTTGTATTGCTGGTAAGTAACTTTCTTGCACTGAGGTCTGTTTGTTGCAAATATCTTTGACTTGTTTTTATGTCTTATAATGTTTATGTGTGTATTTATGTCTTGTATTGCTGGTAAGTAACTTTCTTGCACTGAGGTCTGTTTATTGCAAATATCTTTGACTTGTTTTTATGTCTTATAATGTTTATGTGTGTATTTATGTCTTGTATTGCTGGTAAGTAACTTTCTTGCACTGAGGTCTGTTTATTGCAAATATCTTTGACTTGTTTTTATGTCTTATAATGTTTATGTGTGTATTTATGTCTTGTATTGCTGGTAAGTAACTTTCTTGCACTGAGGTCTGTTTATTGCAAATATCTTTGACTTGTTTTTATGTCTTATAATGTTTATGTGTGTATTTATGTCTTGTATTGCTGGTAAGTAACTTTCTTGCACTGAGGTCTGTTTGTTGCAAATATCTTTGACTTGTTTTTATGTCTTATAATGTTTATGTGTGTATTTATGTCTTGTATTGCTGGTAAGTAACTTTCTTGCACTGAGGTCTGTTTATTGCAAATATCTTTGACTTGTTTTTATGTCTTATAATGTTTATGTGTGTATTTATGTCTTGTATTGCTGGTAAGTAACTTTCTTGCACTGAGGTCTGTTTGTTGCAAATATCTTTGACTTGTTTTTATGTCTTATAATGTTTATGTGTGTATTTATGTCTTGTATTGCTGGTAAGTAACTTTCTTGCACTGAGGTCTGTTTATTGCAAATATCTTTGACTTGTTTTTATGTCTTATAATGTTTATGTGTGTATTTATGTCTTGTATTGCTGGTAAGTAACTTTCTTGCACTGAGGTCTGTTTATTGCAAATATCTTTGACTTGTTTTTATGTCTTATAATGTTTATGTGTGTATTTATGTCTTGTATTGCTGGTAAGTAACTTTCTTGCACTGAGGTCTGTTTATTGCAAATATCTTTGACTTGTTTTTATGTCTTATAATGTTTATGTGTGTATTTATGTCTTGTATTGCTGGTAAGTAACTTTCTTGCACTGAGGTCTGTTTATTGCAAATATCTTTGACTTGTTTTTATGTCTTATAATGTTTATGTGTGTATTTATGTCTTGTATTGCTGGTAAGTAACTTTCTTGCACTGAGTTCTTGTTATTGCAAATATCTTTGACTTGTTTTTATGTCTTGAAATGTTTATGTGTGTATTTATGTCTTGTATTGCTGGTAATTAACTTTGTTGCACTGAGGTCTGTTTATTGCAAATATCTTTGATCTGTTTTTTTTGTCTTATAATGTTTATGTGTGTATTTATGTCTTGTATTGCTGGTGATTAACTTTGTTGCACTGAGGTCTGGTTATTGCAAATATCTTTGACTTGTTTTTATGTCTTATGTTTATGTGTGTATTATGTCTTATAATGTTTATGTGTGTATTTATGTCTTGTATTGCTGGTAAGTAACTTTCTTGCACTGAGGTCTGTTTATTGCAAATATCTTTGACTTGTTTTTATGTCTTATAATGTTTATGTGTGTATTTATGTCTTGTATTGCTGGTAAGTAACTTTCTTGCACTGAGGTCTGTTTATTGCAAATATCTTTGACTTGTTTTTATGTCTTATAATGTTTATGTGTGTATTTATGTCTTGTATTGCTGGTAAGTAACTTTCTTGCACTGAGTTTTGTTTGTTGCAAATATCTTTGACTTGTTTTTATGTCTTGTCATGTTTATATGTGTATTTATGTCTTGTATTGCTGGTAAGTAACTTTCTTGCACTGAGTTTTGTTTGTTGCAAATATCTTTGACTTGTTTTTATGTCTTATCATGTTTATATGTGTATTTATGTCTTGTATTGCTGGTAAGTAACTTTCTTGCACTGAGGTCTGTTTGTTGCAAATATCTTTGACTTGTTTTTATGTCTTATAATGTTTATGTGTGTATTTATGTCTTGTAATGTTTATATGTGTATTTATGTCTTGTATTGCTGGTAAGTAACTTTCTTGCACTGAGGTCTGTTTGTTGCAAATATCTTTGACTTGCTTTTATGTTTTATAATGTTTATGTGTGTATTTATGTCTTGTATTGCTGGTAAGTAACTTTCTTGCACTGAGGTCTGTTATTGCAAATATCTTTGACTTGTTTTTATGTCTTATAATGTTTATGTGTGTATTTATGTCTTGTATTGCTGGTAAGTAACTTTCTTGCACTGAGGTCTGTTTATTGCAAATATCTTTGACTTGTTTTTATGTCTTATAATGTTTATGTGTGTATTTATGTCTTGTATTGCTGGTAAGTAACTTTCTTGCACTGAGTTTTGTTTGTTGCAAATATCTTTGACTGTTTTTTGTCTTATAATGTTTATGTGTTTTATGTCTTTAATGTTTATGTGTGTATTTATGTCTTGTATTGCTGGTAAGTAACTTTCTTGCACTGAGGTCTGTTATTGCAAATATCTTTGACTTGTTTTTATGTCTTATAATGTTTATGTGTGTATTTATGTCTTGTATTGCTGGTAAGTAACTTTCTTGCACTGAGGTCTGTTTATTGCAAATATCTTTGACTTGTTTTTATGTCTTATAATGTTTATGTGTGTATTTATGTCTTGTATTGCTGGTAAGTAACTTTCTTGCACTGAGGTCTGTTTATTGCAAATATCTTTGACTTGTTTTTATGTCTTATAATGTTTATGTGTGTATTTATGTCTTGTATTGCTGGTAAGTAACTTTCTTGCACTGAGGTCTGTTTATTGCAAATATCTTTGACTTGTTTTTATGTCTTATAATGTTTATGTGTGTATTTATGTCTTGTATTGCCGGTAAGTAACTTTCTTGCACTGAGGTCTGTTTATTGCAAATATCTTTGACCTGTTTTTATGTCTTATAATGTTTATGTGTGTATTTATGTCTTGTATTGCTGGTAAGTAACTTTCTTGCACTGAGGTCTGTTTATTGCAAATATCTTTGACTTGTTTTTATGTCTTATAATGTTTATGTGTGTATTTATGTCTTGTATTGCTGGTAAGTAACTTTCTTGCACTGAGGTCTGTTTTTGCAAATATCTTTGACTTGTTTTTATGTCTTATAATGTTTATGTGTGTATTTATGTCTTGTATTGCTGGTAAGTAACTTTCTTGCACTGAGGTCTGTTTGTTGCAAATATCTTTGACTGTTTTTTGTTTATTTATGTTTTTATGTCTTATAATGTTTATGTGTGTATTTATGTCTTGTATTGCTGGTAAGTAACTTTCTTGCACTGAGGTCTGTTATTGCAAATATCTTTGACTTGTTTTTATGTCTTATTTTATGTTTTTATGTCTTATAATGTTTATGTGTGTATTTATGTCTTGTATTGCTGGTAAGTAACTTTCTTGCACTGAGGTCTGTTATTGCAAATATCTTTGACTTGTTTTTATGTCTTATAATGTTTATGTGTGTATTTATGTCTTGTATTGCTGGTAAGTAACTTTCTTGCACTGAGGTCTGTTATTGCAAATATCTTTGACTTGTTTTTATGTCTTATAATGTTTATGTGTGTATTTATGTCTTGTATTGCTGGTAAGTAACTTTCTTGCACTGAGGTCTGTTTATTGCAAATATCTTTGACTTGTTTTTATGTCTTATAATGTTTATGTGTGTATTTATGTCTTGTATTGCTGGTAAGTAACTTTCTTGCACTGAGGTCTGTTATTGCAAATATCTTTGACTTGTTTTTATGTCTTATAATGTTTATGTGTGTATTTATGTCTTGTATTGCTGGTAAGTAACTTTCTTGCACTGAGGTCTGTTTATTGCAAATATCTTTGACTTGTTTTTATGTCTTATAATGTTTATGTGTGTATTTATGTCTTGTATTGCTGGTAAGTAACTTTCTTGCACTGAGGTCTGTTTATTGCAAATATCTTTGACTTGTTTTTATGTCTTATAATGTTTATGTGTGTATTTATGTCTTGTATTGCTGGTAAGTAACTTTCTTGCACTGAGGTCTGTTTATTGCAAATATCTTTGACTTGTTTTTATGTCTTATAATGTTTATGTGTGTATTTATGTCTTGTATTGCTGGTAAGTAACTTTCTTGCACTGAGGTCTGTTTATTGCAAATATCTTTGACTTGTTTTTATGTCTTATAATGTTTATGTGTGTATTTAT